GCGGTCTCGGTGGAAGTAGAACTCACACAGCAGGGCAGGCTTTTGCGCAGCTAACGCTCTACCATTGAGCTATGAGGCTCACCGTGCGCCGTGAATTTAAGCACACTTGAATCGATTTTACCCGCCTAACTTTCTGCTTGTATGGAATCCACCATTGCAGAATAGCAAGCCGATTGCCCAGGCAGGATTTTCTAAGCAATTGTCTAGAATCTACCAGAATGACTACTAGGCTGTGTTCGAATCCCAGATTCTCGAAATCTGCGGTGCGGCCATGGCTGGCAGTTTAGTATGCCAGGAGCGGTTGTCTCAGGGTCTGTCATATTTACCTTCACTCATTCTCTATCATTACGGAACGCATTGCAGTAACTTGCAAGGTGTCGCAATCAGCTATGGGGTGGTCATTTTCCATTGCCCGATCAGTGAACAAATCTCTAACCACAAATTCTTTTATATTTATAAGCGTTTTCCTTTCATTGCTTGTGACTAACTATACCACTCTCTGGATGCCCTTCAGGCCACATTGCCTTCTTCATCCATGACTATGTCCGGAACATAAAAGTCTACTTATATTTAACTGCAGCATTAATCCAAATTTTCTGTCGCTCTTTGCAACCACTGAGCCTCTTTAAGATTTCTGATGGATGGCATCCTGTTCCTGCTTTTACTGTTTAGTGTGTCGCGACACTGGGTACCACAGTGACTTGCAGCTACGACCGCCTGACGGAAATTGGTCTCGTGTGCAGGGATTACAACATATGGCTTCACGTGGACGCCGCCTACGCCGGATCAGCGCTGATTTGTCCAGAATTTCGCTCGCTGATGCCAGGCTTGGAAGTAAGTCCGGGGTTTCGCCCCGTACACGATCAGCCACTCAAAACTATTCGTTAGATTAAGTTCATGGGGCCCCTGACAGCAATGAAAGGAGCTATTTATACAGTTTAATTATTTGATAAACGTTAATAAGAATATCTTAAGAAAGTCAAATTCCAACAGAAGACAGGGCCGGGGAATTTGAGATCTGCACTAAAACTGGCAACATCAAGAGCCTTCGGCAGTAAAAGTGCAATACAGTTTTGCAGATAACATTTTTGATGGTATTTCATCATGACAAGTGCTTTAAAGCTATTCTCAGATGGATAAGAAAGCCCATATTAACTTCAACACGCAATGAAAACCATGTGCATTATTGCAGGGCAAATTGGGTTTTCATGAAATTTTAGTGGACACTTCTCCAATCATCTCCGATTGATAATCATCCATTTTTCATTTTGATGCCTGCTTAGACAGTCCAGTCAAAAGTTCTCCTTCCATAATTTAGGCGACATATTCTGTAACAGGATCTGTACCTTAGAGCCTTTGGGGTGGTAATTTCTGTGGAAATTAAAGTTTTATTCAAAATATATTTGAATTAGAAGTCCGAGGTTTAAAAACTGCGCACTGTGTACATCCTGTTTAAGGAAAAGTAAATTTTTCCCTACAGTTTGAG